GACACCATTGCTCCTGAGTACTTTAGAGAGGTCCCTAACAGCAGACTTTCCCACGGCAATATGTTTTTTTATTTCCTGACTGCTGGTGCCAAGAGTGTTGACCGTGGAGCCAACCAAGCTGAAGCTGTGAACAATCTCAATCTCTTCGCCATCCATCCTGATGCTACCAATTGGTCCAGTGGTGAAAATCTTTGTCTTCTTGACATTGAGCCTCAGTCTGTAATGAATGCTGCAGTCCTTGACCTGTCGCAGCAAGTGCATGAGGTCTTCCTCATTTTCAGCAAGCAGGGTTGTGTCATCTGCATAACACAGATTGTTGATAGATCTTCCACCAATCCTGATGCCACAATTCTCCTCATAGAGCCCAGACTCCTGGATAATCTGCTCTGCATACAGGTTGAAAAGGTAGGGAGACAGGACACATCCCTGGCGCACACCCTTCCCAATTTTGAACCATGCAGTGTTACCCTGCTCTGTTCTGACAACTGCCTCTTGGTCCAAGTATAGGTTTCTCATCAGCACGATTAAATGTTCTGAGTGAAACCAAGTTTCTGCTAGAATTTTGAAGCTCCATCTCACATACTTGGGGGATGTGGCCAGGAGAGACCAATCCTTTGAGAAGGACATCATTCTCTGAAGGCTGGAGGGACAGACAGTGCAGGAGAGGAAGACCCCAATGAGATAGATTGATACAGTAATTGGGCAATGGGAGTTGGTGTGTTGGAATTAGTAAAACTGGCTCATGGAAGGGCTGGCTGGCTTCAGAGCTGTGATACATAGGGTTGCTATGGGTAACAGGTGGCTCGATGGTACAAACCAACGACAACAACAAAAACGACAGTGTTTCCTTACTCTGTTCTGACCACTGCTTCCTGATTCTAGTATAGATTTCATATGAGCACAATTAAGTGTTCTGGGATTCCCAATTTTCTCAAATTTAGCCATAACAATTTGTTGTGATCCACACAGTCAAATGCTTTACATAGTCAATGAAACAAATAGATATTCATTCCTCTGGTACTCTTTGCTTTCAGCCAAGACCCATATAATTATGCAGTGAATGTACCTGTCGTATTTTCACACGTGCATACATACATATATTTATGGAACATACTTGAAACTGTAATTGCCAGATAGTAAAGTATTTTTACCTTCAAATTTATTAGATAGCGATCCTTCAAAGTAATTCTATTTCTTTTTCACTGCCTTCAATTAGCAGTGTGTGAATTCTCCATTTATCTCTAAATCTATAGTATTGTCAGTCTTACTTTTAGGTGTTGCCAGTTAGATAAACCTGAAATATTTCCTCATTATAATGTCTGATAATTAGCATGTTCATTATCTTTCTGTATATTTGTTAGCTACTTGAACTTTCTCTTCCACAAATGGTCTTTTCATGCTTTTACCTATGTTATTATTAGGATATTTGCATTTCCTAATTGATCACTGGCAGCCTGGTGGTGAGGAGCTGTGCTCTTAGATCAAAGGTGTACAGTTCAAATCCATCAACTGTTCCAAGGGAGAAAGCTGGGCAGTCTGCCCCCATGCCACTTCTGTAAACCACTTGAAGGTCAGCTATAAGTAGTTACTACTTGAAGACACATAACAACAGACAACAATATTAAATGATCAGTAAGAGTTAATTATGTAACCTGAATTCTATCATGTGTCAATCAAGTGTAAGCTATTAGATATCTCCACTTCAACTTCTGTTTTCAAGCTAAGTTGTTGATAGCTCAATGTCAGGAAATACCCTCTCAAATCTCTGCTGTGTCATCCAGTTACAAAGGATTGGGGAAAAATAACCTAGACACCCCTAACAGGAGAAGGAAATTAGGAAAACTTGTGATTTTTAAAAATATTAACATATTAAATGCAACTGAAGTGCAATATATGGTATTTGTAATTATATTGTCAGAGCGATTTTACTATAAAGCAGAAGATAATTGGCTATGCTTTCTCAAACTCTGTTTATACATAAAGTTGAGGAAACTAGCATGCAAAAAATATAGAACTTGTAGTAATAGTAGAATGGAATGGCTTCAACTACTGAAATAGTAATAGCACTTTGAAACTATTACTAAATACTGTGATTTCAACTAAAGTCTTTATGGCGGAAATGGTTCACTATTCCAGGGAGCTTAGGTTAGTTTTTTTCTTTTTATCTTATTATCAGTATAGAAGAGGATAATGATTTTTAAACTGTATATTAATAAGTCAAAGAGACACTATAATTAAATACAACAGAATAGAATAAAATGTCAGGCTATATATAAATGAGCATTTACCTCGGTGGCTAGCGTGTAAAGAAAAGCACACCTAATTAGAAAGAAATGAACAAAATGGCAAGCCATAAGCAGAGTGACTTAGAAGCATTTTTAACCTTCTCGTAGTGTCCTACAAATGATGTGTCAAAGACTCATTTAGTCATCAACAATATTTAGGTAATTTACATTAGCCTATGCAAAGACATTTGCTCACTATGCAAGTTGAGGGAGCTCTGGTGGTGTAGTGGTAAGAAGCTGCACTGCAATCCCAAAAGCATGCAATTTATATCCACCAATTACTCTGCAGGTGAAAGGTCCTCAGTCTCCTCCTATGTGATTTAGTGCCTCTGAAAATCCACAAAAGGGTCAGCTATGAGTCAGTTCTAATTAGACAGCACACAACAATAACACGCAAGCTTATGTATGGTAAATCCCACCTTTTTTAATCCTGTATTTCTCATCTAATTTCATACTTGTAATGGCCCTACTAATAGGAAAAGGAGGATACTACTCCATTTTTCTCATAATTAAACTGAGACTCAAAAAGTATGTGAAAATAGTAACCTGGTTATTTGTGGAAATACTCAGAATTGGTGGTATACTGCATAGTATGCTGGAACAGGTCAATGTTTCAACATTACCAGGTGCTCAGGGAAGAATCATAGACAGTCTCCGCCAGTAAAAGTCTACATCCTCAGAAATTACGGACAACCAGTAAAACCCAGAACTGACTTAGTAGTAGGGAGTACCCAGAAACAGTATTTGAACCTCACAATTTTAAACATATATTCCCTGAGAACTATATGTGATTTAAATACTATCACATATTTGATACATATTCACATGTGTATACATATGTTTTGGGTAGAATATTAAATGATCCTGCAAGTATTAAAAGAAGATAGAAAGAGTATACAGAATCATTATACCAAAAGGAATTGGAAGACACAGAAGGATTTAATGAAACAAAATATGAGCAAGAGCCTATGGTGATGAAGGAAGAAGTTCAGACTGCTTTGAAAGAATTGGTTAAGAATAAGGCCCCAGGAATTGATGGTATACAAATTGACGTATTTCAAGCAGCAGATGCTGCCCTGGGTGTGTTCACCAAGTTGTGCCAAGAAATCTGGAGAACAACCACTTGGCCAACTGACTGGAAGAGATCTATATTTGTTCCCATTCCAAAGAAAGGTGATGCCACAGAGTGTGGAAATTATCAAACAATTTCATTAATATCACATGCAAGATTCTGCTGAAGCTTCTCCAAAAACAACTGGAACAGCACATCAACAGAGAACTACCAGAAGTGCAGGCTGGGTTTAGAAGGGGCCATGGTACTTGGGTTATTGTAGCTAATATTAGAAGGATCTTGGCTGAAAGCAAGGAGTACCAGAAGAAGGTCTATCTTTATTTCTTTGATTATGCAAAGGCATTTGACTGTGTGGATCATAACAAACTGTGGCTGACACTGAGAAGAATGGGAATCCCAGAACACTTGATCGTGCTAATGCACACACTGTACTTGGATCAGGTAGCAGTCATCAGAACAGAGCAGGGAAACACTGTATGGTTCAGAAGTGGGAACAGTGTACACCAAGGATGTATCCTATCTCCATACCTTTTCAATCTTCATGAAGAACAGATTATCTGGGAGGCTAGGCCCTGTGAGGAAGAATGTGGCATCAGGATTGGAGCAAGATTCATCAACAATCTGTGTTATGGATAGGTTGAAGACAGGCTGCTCCTTGGAGGCAAGGATTCTGAAGCTTCGTCTGACATTCTTTAGACATGTTGCAAGGAGGGACCAGCTCTTGGAGAGGGACGTCATGCTTGGGAGGGTGGAGGGACAGCGCAGGAGTGGCAGACCCTCAATGAGATGGATTGAGTCAGTGACTGGGATAATAGGAGTAGGTGTGTCAGAGGTAGTGAGATTGGCACAGGATAAGACAGAGTTTATGGCTGTTGTACATAGGGTCGCTGTGAGTTGCAGGCAACGCGACGGCACATAATAACAACAACAACATGCATGCATATTCAAGAATAAGTGTCCTTTCTTAATTTTCATGTAGATCACAGTCTATGGCAAGACATTAGTCACACAAAACACTATAGATAATTCATATGCAAATTACTTCACATGCTTTTCTAATCAATCAATTTTCTACATTTTTTAACTTGAATGAATTTCAAATTAATAAATATTGCCACAAGAATTTTAATGCTATTCTCTTTGTTGTGAGGTGCTGTCAAGTGTGCTTTGAGTCATTGAAACCCTACACACGACAGAATGAAGCCTTGACTGATCCTGTTCCCTCTTCGTAATTGAACCCATTGTCAATCCATACCCTTGAGACTATGCCTCCTTCTCACTAACTTAGTTTACCAAGTATGATGTCCTTCTCCCGGGGTTTGGCCTTTCCTGATAACATGTGCAAAGTATGTGATGTGACATGAATTTTAGGAATTTACTGTAAATCAGTGGTTAATATCTAATAAAGTACACACACACACACACACACACACATCAGAATCTTTAGGACCATTATCACTGCAGACTTTAGAAAAATGACTAAGCTAAAGAGAGAGGCACATTCCTCAAATTCATTCAGATAATAAATTAACCTTAAAAAGATCTATCACTTTGCATTAAGAACTTAATTAGAATTGGACAGCGCTATTTGGGTTTAAGGAGTGTTTTTAATCAAACAAATGCTATATAATAATTTTGTAGATATGTTACATCCAGAGTTTGTCAGAGGGAAAGTTAATGAGCAAGTAAGTGAATTATGTTTCTGTTTACATATCTATTCCCAAAGATAATGAAGTGATATGATAGCTTTTGAATAAATGTGATTCTTTGTAAACAAAAATACTTGCTACTACAAAATGTGTTACTAAAATGTGTAGTTTGAGCACTTATACCAGGAGGAAAAAACTAACCCTCAGTATGTACCATAATTTTTAACGTAGAAAAGCAGCTATCAGTCCAATGAAAAGAGATCAATAAGACAAGTTCACGTCAACTCGTAGCTAAATAAAAAGTTCACAGTACAAGAACATCAGCTTCTCTGACGGAAAAAGTTGTGCACTATGCCTCTGTAAAGATTTACAGCCTCAAAATCATTATACAGAAACTATTTTGTCCTATAGGGCATTGGATTGTGGTTAAAATTTAATATTCCTGTATAATACTTTTAAAATCATCTCATCATGTCAAGAATGTTGTATATATTGAATCATACAGTACTATAATATTTTGGGATGCACTTTCTGCTTAATTATCTGTGGATTCATTAAGTTGTACATAATTAACATTTCATTCTTTGCAATTGCCCAATAGTATCCCACTGGCTAGATGTGCCATAGTGTGTGTAATTGTTGCTTCCAGTTTTTAACTCTTACAAGCGAAGATGTTCTAAACATCCATGTGCTGGTTTGGCTTTGTTTTCTGTGATGATATCATAGTGTTGGGCAGGGTTTAGTCTATTATTGTGTATATGAGTCAGAGACACCTAAGGTACTTTAGGCACTTAAAGAACAGAGCAGAACTAAGAACAGAACTAAGAACAGCAATAACATGAAGCAGTGGAGTTCTAAACTATAAAAATGAAGACTTTTACCTATGACCAGAGAGTCTCAGAAGTTAAGGTTGTTATTGTGAGGTGTCTTTAAGTCAGTTCCAACTAACTTAAGGGTGATCCTGTGTACAACAGAATAGGGAACAGTAGTGATCCATAGTGATCCTATGCACAACAGAATAAAACACAGCCCCATCCTGTGCCATCTTCACAATTACTGCTTTATTGGAGTCCACTGTTGCAGCTACCACACATGTATCTCTGTGCTAATACATCTCAAGAATCTTCCTATTTCAATACCTCTCTACTCTACTAAGCATGATGTCCTTCCCCAAGGACTGGCCTCTTGTGATAACATATACCAAGTACTAGAGATAAAGTCTCTCCATCCTCACTTGTAAGTAGCATATTTGTACTATACTCATAAGGTGAAATTGTTCATTCTTCTAGATACCGATGCTATATTTAACATTTTTAACCAACATTATAATTCAAAGACAGTCCTCATTCAATATTATTTATTGTCCAATTTTCACAGGCATATAAAATAATTTAAAATCCCATGGTTTGAGTTAGATACATCTTGCAGCCCAAGAGACCACCTTGATGTAACACTTTAGAGAGTTACTCTGCTGTTAATTTTCCCAGTGTAATATCATTTGATTCCTTAACCACTATTTCTATGGGCATTGACTGTAGAACCAAGTAAAATCAAATATTTCATAAAATCAACATTTTCTGTTTATAATGAATTAACATCTAGAAAAGGAGCTCTCTTGACCTAGTGGTAAGAAGCTGCTCTGCAATCCCAAAGACACAAAGTTCGAATCTACCAGCTACTCTGCAGGGAAAAGATAGGCAACTTCCTTCTGTGCCATTAGTTGCCTCTGAAAACCCACTGGAGGGACAGCTATGGGTTGGTTCTGGCTCAAAGGCACACAACAATAATACCTAGTAAGTGGAAGACTCAAGTTTCAGACTGATTTCAGCCATCATCTGTTAGGGATTCTCTTAAACCTACTGCTATAGTATGTCATCGCTACTTAACTGAAACTGACTCATAGCTGAACTTCCAGTGAATTTCTGAGGCTGTAAATTGCACAGAAGATTGCTAATCTTTCTTCTGCTTAGCCAAAAGTGAATTCCAACCACTGGAGAGATCCAGTGTTTGGCCTTCACAACATCCTTTAGTCCACAACTCACAGAACAACCTCTGAACAGCATCTCTGAGCTTTGCCCTATCCTGTATTATATTCATGATCTCCAACACGCTCAAGCCCATTGTTATAGTCACTGTGTCAATCCATCTCCTTAAAGGTCTTCTCTTTTACTGACTTTTTACCTTTCTAAGAATAGTGTCTTTTTCTCAAGGACTAGCCCCTCTTGATAACATGCTCAAACACTGTGAGAAGAGGTTTCACTATCCTTGCTTCTAAGGCAACATCTTGTTGCACAGCATTCAAGACAGACTTTTCTTTTGGCAGTCCACTTTATATTCAGTGCCTTTCACCAGCACCACAATTCAAAGGCAAGACTCTTTGATTTTCCTTATTTATTACCCTTCTTTGAGATGCATAGTAAGCAAATGAAAACACCATGGCTTGTACTAGGCCCATATTAATCTTTAAACAGATACCCTTGCTCCTCAGCATTTTAAAAATTCCTTGAGAACAGTTTTTTCCTCCAAGTAAAATGCCTTGATTTTTTTTTTTTTTTTTTACTGCTGCTACCATGGTTGTTGGTTGTGGATTTAAATAAAACACAATCATTGACAAGTGTCATCTTACTGTAGGGAGGAAATCCCTTCAATCTAATAAAGAGGTCTTTTATTTTTAAGGCTGTCTTTACCTCTGTGGAATTCTCTTTCCAGACTACTTTACCTTAGTGAATCTGCCATTTATCAGATGTGGCTGTCTGAATACTTTGGGTCTCAAAAGACTTGTTTTCATATTCTGTTTCTCCCAAGCACCATGTGATTTAGGCTTTTCCAACCTCACAAGGATTAAAGAGTCCCCAAGGCCCACTTCTACCTAGTAGCCCTGAAGAATACTGCAGTGCTAACCAGAAGGCAGCACTTATTTGTGGTTGGGATCTAGCCTTGAAAACGACACTGGAGGGTCACTATAAGTGGGTCATTATAGGCTTGATGGCAGGGAACCTGTTTTGAGTTTGAGTTGTTAACTAAGGCCCATATTATCACAAAGTGCCATGCTCTTCTTGTTACTGGTGTAGTCTTGAGCAGTTCTTCCAAAATCTGATTAATCCATTCAGCATCTGCTCCTGCAAGTCATCACGAGGCCCTCCAACACAAATACCTCAGACTCCTTCTGATGTGCTTTTTCCTCCCCTGGTACATGAGGTGTGTTTACCAAGTTAGATCATATCCAAGAAAGGACTTGCTGTCCCACTTGGTGCTGTGTTGCACTCACACAATAAGCATTGGATCACAACTTGTGAAAAGTCAACATGTGATTGGCGCTGGCCTTCACTTAGGAGATAACTTGGACTTATTTCTGGCAGATATTTTTAGTCAGTCCTTCCAACTTTAAGAAAGAATGGAATTTTGGAAATGCCTTCTCTCTTAGTCTTTGTGCATACCAATGTTGATTGGCTCTCCTTATGAAACCATGATTTTCCCTTTTTCTAGGTTACAGTAAAAAACGAGCTGAGAAAGCAGGTATTTGACCAGGCTTTTCCCCGTCCTCTTACATCAACCTGCTCTTCCTGTGAGTCTGGGTACTCTGTCCGGATTAGGTCCTGCCCCACGGCCAGTCACTGATCAGTCACTTGATTCTGAACCAAATCCAAAACTTTGCTGGGCTTCTGACTTTATTCTACCCAATACATTGAATACATTGAATACATGTTGGGTTTCTTTCATTTTATATTTTGTTGTTGTTTCTTCCCCTCACTAACAAAAAACAAACAAAAAACAGGTGCTCAAGTAAAAATTTAGTAATCTTTTTAAATAAAATTTTAACTGTGATTTTAGCGAACATTTACAGAGAAGTTGGATTTTCATTCATGCATTGTTATACATTTTACCTCCTCACTCTCCCTCCACCCCCCCGATAACTTTTTTATATATAATCTATATATTCATTCATTGTTGCACAATTACCTTCCTTCCCTCCTCCCCTATCCTCTTTGCAATGCTATATCTCATATTCGGGACTATTTAACAAAGTTTTCAAACACATCCGGATGGCTTTAAGAAGACAGAGAAGAGAATACATAAGCAGGGAGGGTGAGGTGACCAATCTCCAACTTTTTTTCTCTCCTTCTCCCCGGAAATACAACTGTCCAGGCATTGATCTCAATAGAATCCCAGGAAAGACAGACGACTCCTGCAACTGAACAAACATTTTCCGGTCCAGGCTCTCGTGCCCTGCAGGATGGCCTGTCCCTCTCCGCCCCCCTCCCACAGACTGCCCCCCTTTCCCACACGCGCTGCCAGCTCAGCGGCCAGTCAGCCTGGCCCGCACGCTCTCCCAAGGTGATTGGCTGGCGAGGCCCGGGAGGCTGGTTCGGCTGGAAGGTAAAGCCGCTGGCGGGCGGCGCCCGCGCTGAGCAGAGCGCAGAGGAGCGGCCGGTGGGGCGCGGCAGACACTGGCCAGCAATTCACCAATTAGCGCGAACTTCAGAGTTCACCTCTACTGCTGACTTGGGCAAGCGGGGAGTGGCGGTCACTCGGGTGCGATTCGCCAATCAGCGCGGGTTTGAAGTTCGCCTAGGGGCGAGCCCGGAAGCCCGCAGCCTGTGCCTGAGCGCCTTTACGCCCACAGTCGGTGCGGTGATGGCTGTGCCGGCGGGGGTCGCGCCCCGCGTGAGGATGCATGTCCTGCCTGCTTTCGACGCGTCCCTGAGCGAGCGGCTTCTACACCGCGGCCCCGAGTACCTGCGCCGGCACCTGGAAGCCCCGCGGCCAGCGCGCACGAGCGCGGTGGAGAGGCTGGCGGCCGACCGTGCCAAGTACGTGAAGAGCCAGCCGGTGGTCGGACCCGCACATGGCCCAGCCCGGCCGAGCTCCACTTCTGGGAGCAGCAGCGAGAGCTACTCCGGGGAGAGCCGGAGGAACTCCCGCAACACTGGTGGCGGTGGCGGGGAGGAGAAGGCAGTGGGCTCCTCCCAGGCTCCCTCCTGCGCCCCGGCCCCGGCCCCGTGCCCTGTGCCTCGCAGGGCCATTGCCCGGAGGCCCTTGAGGCCGGACTCACTGGTCATCTACCGGCAGAAATGTGAGTTTGTCAAAGGGTCGGGCCCCGACAGCTCCAGGGTGAGCTTGGTGAAGAAGTTCTTCCAAGGACCTGGCAGAGATAAGACGTTGGTGCCCCCTGAGATGCCTAAAGTAAGAGAAGAGGGCAAAACCGAGGGCAGTGAGGTCAGAACTCAGGGCGAGGGTGTGGCCCCTAGCAAGGCTGCAGTGAATAGCGTGCTCTCTGACCCTGTTATCAGTTCAGTGCCCTCTGCGCCATCTGCACCCTCCCTAGATGAGGGTGAACCCAGCAGATGGCAAGCTGCGCCCCTTGGTTCTGAACTCCGAGAGGTGAAGCGCAGGGGCCTGCACCGCTCACAGTCGGACATCAGTTCCCGCTACTCTAAGTCCTTTGCTGAGTTTGACACCTTTTTCCAGTACTGCGGCCTGGACCCTGAGGTGGTGGAAGAACTTGGCAGGGAGAACTTCTCTGCAGGATCAGATCACATAGCCTACAAAGTCCGCAGTGTCAGCATTGCCACTTCCGACAGCGGTTTCTCCCACCAAAGCGGTGGAGAGAACGGACTGCAGGAAGATGAGCTGATAGAACAAGTCCCCACCACCACCTCTGTCATCGAGAAGAATGCCCGCATCATCAAATGGTTGTACACCTGTAAGAAGGCCAAGGAGACCCCCAGTAAGGGCCTATAGGAACTGGAGTGAAGCTTCCTGCGCCCAGGCCGGGAGACCAGAAACACAAGGTGTGCTTTGCTAAAACCTGAGAATGGTGTCTGCGAGTGTGTGTTTGTGTGTTTGGTCAGTATGACCAAGATGGGTAATGATTAATTAGAGCTTGCATTATAGCCCAGAGTGCTATCCTTGAGAGAAACTTATTAAATAGCAAAACTGCTACCAGAACCAGGCCCAGCGTTCTTTACTCTGACAAAGGCTACATTTGTCTGCCTGGGAAGACAAATCTAAGATACACATTGTTCTCGTTGACTTACTATTGAAAAAAAAAGTCCGAGAGAGAAATTTAAATTGTGAGGGGAAAAAATCATTGTTTACCAGCAATTTCACATCACCTTCTGTAATTTTAGGGAGTTCTGATGTTAACTGTGTTACCAACTTGAAGGCAGGTGATTCAAATCCATCAGCTATTCCAAAGAGGAAAATAACTTATCTATGCAATTTGCAGCTTCTGGAAACTCACTGGACAATCAGCTATGACAGCATTGGATATCAGTAGCACCTATGATTATATCTTTAATTGAAAATAGCAGAGGGCAGAGGAACCCCTAGTTTTATGTTAATTGACCTCATGAGACAACTTCTCTTTGGACTGTCCAATTAATCCAGCTGATAGAATAGTCTTTGCTCTCAAAGAGAAAAATTTCTCACACAGAAAGGAAGGCTGTGTCTCACCAGATCGAAATGAGCTTTCATTCTCTTGGAGGCATTAACCAAAGTAGTGAGGAGGAACTTCTCTGCAAAATCTTGCCAGCATTTTGACAAGTGTGTACCCGAGAAGTTACTTTCTTTGGGTAATTGTAACTGAAATTGCTTGGCAAAACTTTCTTAAGAATGTTTAAGCAATAGACAGCTTCAGTTCTTAAAGTGACGAAATTGGACTAAACTACAGTATGACTTACAGGTTTTCATTGCTTTTACCCTAAAGTTTATGTTTCTCTCTTATTATAAAATAGAAAGTATTTTATTCTCATAAATAATGTGCTAATGTAAATAAGACATACTCAAAGTCATGGGAGAAAGATGGATAATATCTTCTGTGAGATTTATAGGCGCTGAAAACATGCAGAAAGGACAGCTATAGGCTGGTTCTGACTTGATGGTACGCAACAATAGCAACTCAAGTAGGAACTTCTGGTGGCTTAATTGTAAGAAGGTGCACTGCCAACTTAGAGACATGCAGTCTAAATCCACCAGTTACTCCATGGGAAAAAGATGGGCTATCTCCTGTGGGCTATCTCCTGGGAAAACCCACTGGAGAATCAACTATGAATTGGTTCTGACTCACTGGAACATAACAATAACATACATAGTACATAGTGTGCATAGGAAACCAACACAGAAGGAGTTTGCACAGTTGTTTTTGATGAAAACTTTTAACATAAATGCTAATAGTGTAAAAATGTTGTAGTGTCTTCCCTTTGCATTACCCACTAATCATCACGTAGATCACACAGAATCTATAGGTCACATAGATGATCATCAGAGTTCTTCTGTTCAATGTACTTTTCATTGAGGAGCTTTGGATTCTTTTTGAGAAACAATCTAAGCAGTACATCTCTCTTATTCTTCATTGGCAATTTGCTATATATTTGAAAGAACACTTCATATAATATAAGTATTTGTTCTTTGAGATAAGCTTGGTAAATAGTGGGAGTGGCATGTTATGTCACAGGAGATGTTTGTATTCTACTCATGTGTTCTTGAAGATTGGATAACAATACTAAAACTTAATAACGTCTGAGTAGTCCAGCCTTAATACAAACATGAATAATATTAAACAAGAGTGAAAATCTTTATTTATGTTGATTTGAGCCTCAAAATTTAAGTTCCTCCTTACAATTAATTATTGGTTTCTTCTTCTAATTTAATTCCCTAGACAAGTAAAAAAAACTATTAAAAATATTTTTCTTTTGTCTTTGAGGACTGAGGTAGCCTTGTCAGGGCGAGGGGTTTCCTTCCAAAGACACTTGCCATGAACGCTCATCATGTGAAAGAGGAAGGTTACAATGAGAGATCTGGACAGAGGCTGGTCTGGAGGAGAACTGGGAGGCCTGTCTTCTGTTTACCATTCACTCCTCTGCTTTAAGCTGGAGCTTTCATTCTCCATGAAATGAAAGCATATAGACGACTCTCACTTTGTGTTTTGCTTTTCTCTGTGTTCAGACATGAATCTGTGTTGTGTGGAACCCAGAAAGAGAGAAACACAAAACTCATTGCTAATTGGATTATGTAAAAACGTCAACTGAGAGAGAAAAAAAAATTCTGTTTGCGGGGAGCAAGATGGATATAGAACCTTCTGTGTTTTATTCACAGAAGGTAGTTAGGATTGATGGTAAAAATATGTTAGTGGTAGGATAAGACTGCCTTCAGTAAAAGAAAAAGAGAAATTCTAAAAGCACTGCCACAGGGTAGATTGACCCTATAGGACAGAAATAAACAGAATTGGATTTCCAAGGCTGCAAATAAGCAGACCGCTACATTTTCTCTCAAGATGGTACCAAATGGACAAAAATAAAGCATGAAAACATTAAAATAAAAGCTCCCTACTTTCATCTCTGTAGACTCAAACCTACCTCTGTCTCAGTGCCACCAATATCAAAATAGTGTCCAAAAGATTGTTTGAGGTTTGGCCTATCATGTTTCCAAAGTCCTTTTTCTGTTTGAGTTTATGCGGGAAATCTTGTTTGGTTACCGTGGAAGAACGTTCATCTTAACAGAAAAGAGACAGGAGGGACTGACTGGTTTTCTTCCAAGGGAAAATGACAGCAAGTTTAGGAAACAAGAGATGTAAACCCTGCAGGAGAATCCGAGGGTACTCTTGGTGTCTCCATCTATCTTAATCCCATTTGTTTTAAAGGGAGGACAGTGTTACTTGCCTTCTCAGATGCTTCCTATTTTGCTCAGGGAAGAGGCACTACCTGGTCCTATGCAGTCTTTTGGAGCACATGGAATTGGCAGTCACAGCACTATAAAGATTTACATCATAGATTTATTCCCCTGGGCCTAAAACATTGCTTGAATACTTTGACATTTCAATCAGTCCATACTTAATACCAGCTGTTTGCAGAATTCTGAGGAGGAAGTGAGCTGGACCTTCTCCATGTTCCGATGCTGACTTCCCACTGTAATGAAGTCTCTCCATAACCACAAACCACCTTTCTTAACTCATTGCCTCCAAACAACATTGTTTCCTCTGAAGATGATCCAATAGAGAGAGCCAGCATTGTAGTGAGTGAAGAAATTATTCCAGCAACATTTAAAACAAACAGAAAGCCATTTGCAAAGTAAACATAAGCTTTCTTCAGGAATTACATGTCTCAAGAGCTAGTTCCATAATTTACCTGAAGACATGGAAGCAAGCATTTTAAACTCTGCTCTTTCTCTAGTTTATCACAACATTTTGGCTGAGATTCATTAAGGACTCATTGTTGTTAGGGTGACTACAAGTTGCTTTCAACTTGAAAGCAACCAATAATAGCATTTTAAGATTGCAGGAGTTCAGAACAAAGTTAATATTCTAAGTGTAAGAAAAAGAAGAAAAAAAAAACCATTTACTATGGAAGCATTTTTTTCCTTTATTAGGTCAAAAACTAAAGTTCATTGCTATTAAGTCAGATCTGAATCATAACTGACCCACCATTGAGTTTCCAAGGCTGTACGTCACACTGGCCACCATTGTTCATATTTGTCCTGCAGAGACACTGGTGGGTTCAAAACCCTAAAGAGACACTGCCTATGGGTAAGCAATACAACTATGTATCACCAGAGCTTCCTTTTTATTAGCAAGAGATTATAAGTTATTACAATTAAAATCATTCCATTCAAACTTGCATAATAAGTTGGTCAGGTTTGAATATTTTACCCCATTAAATAGAAAATGTTTGCTTTTCAAAATTGAGCTACATTCATGGACTATCTGAAATTGGAAGATGACCTCTAGAATCTACATGTATGTACACTGAAGAGCCTTGAACGATAGATACATGGATGATGTGAGCTTTTGTATTTCCAGAGTATAATTCTTGAAATTCTATTTGGTGGTGGGTAGTCATCTTCCTTTCCTTCAATTAATTTGACGAGAGTTGCTAACATTTAAGACTTTATACTGTTTTCTGTATTTTTGCAGATAATAAGTTGCTGATTTTAGAATTGTTACAAAAGAATGATAAAAAAAAAAAAAGAATGATAATTTGCCTTTTAGGTTAATTAGAAAGAAACATGTTTTCATTTAAAACGGCAAGATTAGTACTCCTCAAGCAAAAATCCTCAGATATTGATACTGATCTTCACACTTCTCTTTGATAATAAAGCAGTATATATAGAAACTCACACAAAGAGGTGGTATGAATGTGTCCTCATTATTTGCAAAGATGCTTTGAAAATATAGAGCAGCGCAAATGAGGACACTCCTTTCTTCATTGACGCTACTTGGAAGACTTGCATTTATCAACTAGGAGCACTAGTTTGAGTAATTGTAGCATTGCCCTTCACTGTGACCAGTGTCTGGGCCTTTTAGAGATAGTGGTATATGAAAAGGACAGAATCTATTTGTCTTTAAATATTAATATTGACAACTTGTCTTCTGTTTCTGTTACCAGCGCTGGTAGTTAACACTTCCCTCAATAACCTTCAAAGAAATTTTCTTTGCTCTTACTCTGTTAATGGTTTGAAGTAAACAGATTTTACAAGTCCAGAGAAAAGGTCTGCAGGAGGATAAAGATTTGTTCTACTGACTGAGAGTTTCTGTTCAAAACTTAAAGACACAAAGGAGTTGGGTTTGTTATTTTAATGTAGAGAATGTTGCAAAGTCAAACAATTTGAAGTATAAGATTTTGTTTTAGAAAATTTTCCCTAGACTAGAATTAATTATTCTCTTTCCTCCCTTTCCCCACCATATCCAGTTAGTCCTCAGGAAGAAATTCCTCCCAAGAATGGAGATTCCCTTGAAGTGTATCACT